CATAGGAACAGAAATTAGGCCATTCGGCCCATCGAGTCTGCTCTGCCATTCAATCATGGCTGATAAGTTCCTCAACCCCATTCTCCCTCTTTCTCCTCGTAACCCTTGATCCCCTTGATAATCAAGAACCTATCTATCTCAGTCTTAAATGTACTCAATGATTTGGCCTCCAAAGCCTTCTGTGGCAGTGAATTCCATAGATTCACCACTCTCTGGCTGAAGAAGTTTCTCCTTATCTCCGTTCTATAAGGTCTTCCCTTTACTCTAAGGCTGTGCCCTTGGGTCCTAGTCTCTCCTACCAATGGAAGCACATTCCCAACATCCACTTTGTCTAGGTCATTCAGTATTCTGAAAGTTTCAATTAGATCCCCCCTCATCCTTCTAAACTGCAATGAGTACAGTCCCAGAGTCCACAAACTTTCCTCATATGAGAAATAATTAATTGGCAGGGAAGTGCTTTGGGCCATCGCAAGGTCATGAAAGTATATTATAAAAGTACAAGCTTTTGCATTTAAAAAGTATCATCTTTAGTTTCAGTGCATGTATAACACTTTACAAATAATCGGATCACTCATTCACATTACCGTGGTACTGATGGAAAAGTGTTGCAGTGGATTGTTACGAAGATTTTTAAAATCAATTTTAAGAAGTAAATTCATGCATAGCAGCCAGAATCACTACAGTGGAAGATTATTAACTCGCTTACCTGTCATCGCGTGAGGGATCGTAGTTATTATCAGCCTCTGGCTTTGTGTTTTAATTCCAGTATTTGGATCCTGCATCTCCATTATCAGAGGCTCAATCTAAACAGAGAAGAGGTCCATAGTGGATGAAAAGGAGAGAAGAGGTCATCAGTGGAAAAGCTGAAGATCAGAAACCAAACACAATATCTCTACTTGTACAAGACTGTGCTTGTTCAAGAACTAGGACCATGTGGTCTGAAAGCAGTGAGACTGAGAACATTCATCTCCTGATGACAGAATGTACAGCTGCTCACTGAATGGGGTGACCTGGAGCATCAAGCAGGATAACCATCTCTCTACCTATTTCAGAGAGTCCCTCCCTCCCCCGCAAAACTGTACAAGGCATAAGTCAGGGCGTGAGCAAATACTCTCCACTTGCCTGGATGCGTGCAGCTGCCAACTTCAAGACGTTCCACACCACCCAGGACAAAGCAGCCACTTGATTGCACCACATACATAAGCAATGCATCGTGGCAGCTGTGTGTACCATCCACAAGATGGACTACAGTAAACCAGCAACGCTCCTTCGACAGCACCCTTTCAAACCTGTGACCTCACCAACCAGAAGGACAAAGGCACCAGATAAATGGAAACTAACTAAAAATTTCTCTCCAAGCCACACACTGTATGAGCCAAAGTTAAACTGTCGATGTTTCAGTGTCACTGGGTCAGACTCCAGGACCTCATTCCCTAACAACACTGTGGGTGCATCCATACCACATGGACTGCAGCGGTTCAAGAAAGCAGCTCACTAGCCCCCTCTTAAGGGAAAATGAGGATGGGCAACAAATTCTGGTCCTGTTAGCAATTTCCCATCAACTACAAAAACCCTCCACTTTCCTGAACCTCAAACAGACTAATAGATATACAACTGGGCCACTTAAAACCAATTTGTATCTCTGAACTTTATTTCCTTACCAACTAAAATTGCCTAGTACTTCCCACACTTCCCCATTCCCCCTCTTCTTCAGCCATAAATGTGGGTATATGCTGATAAATACGGTAAATCCATTTTAACCTCAAAAACAGATAATATCAAATTTGTCCAATATCATCTTTAAGTGGCCACATCCTTTTAAATTTGACCTGTAGCAGGATTGCCTACCTTTTCCTATTAAATCACATAGTTTTAAATAGACAAGCCTTGGAGAAATAACAAATTTTAATGATCTGCTTTGGTGGAGATAGCAATTTGTAATTCATTCCAGCCATCTAATACATTCTAATATTTCAGTTAGTTTACCTGGTCTCAGGTATGTATTTCTCTAATATAATCACAAACTTTAATCACTTTAATTTCAACACAATCTGTATGACCCTGTTTGGTAATTAGTGCAGGTAAAATTGTGATCTCTGAATTAAAAGAAATATTGCTCACTACATCAATGATGGATCTTAATTTCAAAACCAGGTTCAATATCTGTGCAGACCAGACATCCCAAACTGATCTAGTCCCATTTGTTAGCATTTAGCTCATATCCCTCTGACCCTCAAACCTTTACTATTCATGTACCCGTCCAGATGCCTTTTAAATGTTGTAATTGTACCTGAGTCCACCACCTCTTTCCTTCATTGGTCAGAAATTGTGTGTACGTGTTGGGATGTACAGGACATTGGTGAGGCTACTTTTGGAGTACAGCATTCAATTCCAGTCGTCCTTCTATAGGAAAGATGTTAAACTTGAGCAGGTGCAGAAAAGATTTACAGGGATGTTGCCAGGACTGGACGGTTTGAGTTATAGGGAGAGATTGAGGCTATTTTCCCTGGAGCTTCGGAGACTGAGGGCTGACCTTATAGAAGTGTATAAAATCATGAGGGGCATGGATAGGATGAATAGACAAGGTCTTTTTCCTAGGGTAAGGGAGCCCAAAACTAGAGGGCATAGGTTTAAGTGAGAGGGAAAGGTTTAAAAGGGACCTAAGGGGTAACTATTTCACACAGAAGATGGTGCACATATGGAACAAGCTGCCAGAGGGGGTGGTGGAGGCTGGTACAAGTACAACATTTAAAAGGCATTTCGATGGATACATGAATAGGAAGGGTTTAGAGGGATATGGAGCAAATGGGACTAGATCAGATTGACATGTCTGGTCAGCATGGACGAGTTTGACTGAAGGGTCTGTTTCCGTGCTGTATAACTCCATGACTCTATAACAGTCCTCTGATTGGTTGAGATGCAGTGTTAAAAAGCTAGAAGTGCCAGGCCAGTGGTGCACAGAAACTTCCAGAACCTGCAGACAGAAAGCATCCAGCTCTTTTTCTCCCTCTCTCTGGGAAAAAGACAGAAAACAAAGGAAGCTTAAAGCGGAGAATTTTAAAACCAGAAGAGATGATCAACAATCAAATTGAAGAACAACCTACAGACAACAGTATGTCATTATTGCCAAAATCAAAAGGACAATGAGAAAATAAATTTCCATCTTGTCGTCTGGACTTTGATCTTTATCCTATCTATATTTATGATTTTCCCATCCATACTATATATGTTAAACCGCCTTTCTTAATTGTGATTGAGTCTGTGTGCGTGTGTATTTGGGGAAGTTTAAAGGGCTAAGTTGCATATTAGCTGATTAGGAATCTCTTCTTAGCTCTTGGAAAAGTTAAGGGTCTTACAATAAATAGAGGTTTTTTTCCCTCTGTTACTGAAAAAAAACCTGATATGAATTTCTATTGTCCTGAGTAGCTGCCCGTCAGGCAAATTGGTCACATTTGTGATCTCATTGGGATTTTAAACATTTTGTGATGGCTTGTGGAGCAGTGGGGCTCAATTAGCAACACACCTTTTGCAGTTAAATCACCACAGGAGTAAAATCCCCAGCTGACATTTTTGCCCACAGGAAAGGAAGGAAGACCAAATTACTTGTTTTGATGGTTTTACTCAAGGGATAACGATTTGCCAAGACAGCGGTGATAGCCACTCCCCCGTCCTTCTTTAAAACAATGCTCTGGCATATTTTACGTGCTCCAGCTAGAGCCTCAGTCTAAAATCCCACCTGAAAAGTGACATCTCCAGCACTGCAGGATTCCCCAAGTATCGCACTGGAGTGTCAGCCTGGATTCTTTTACTCAGTAAAGCTTGAACCCTCAGGAATGACACAGTCCACTGAGCGACACAGGAAGGGGAAACATTCAGACTTCCCACTTCTGAGCTTGTCCATTGACCCAGCCACAAAAATGGATGTCTTTATTTGGCCAGGCCATAGTGCTCCCTACGTTTATACAGCCTGCACACACCCAAGTATCTAGGGTTCCAAATGAAGAGTGAGCACATTACTAAAGTCTCAGGGAGAGGCCATCAGCCAAAAAAAGCTGTTCTTCCATGTTAGTCAATGTTGCAGTCCTTGAACTAAGATGACATCTGGGATGTTCGGGAGTGGAACGCCCCATCTTGGGAGCAGACTTGGCGGAGGTGGAGGAATTGGGAATAGAGGATCGCATTCTTACAGGAAGGTGGGTGAGAGGAGGTGTAGTCTAGGTAGCTGTGGGAGTTGGTGGGCTTGAAATAGATGTTGGTTTCGAAGTGGTCACCAGAGATGGAGACAGAGAGATCCAGGAAGGAGAGAGAGGTATCAGAGATGGTCCAGGTGAACTTGAGGTTGGGATGAAAGGTGTTAGTAAAGTTGATGAACTGTTTAAGCTCCTTGTGGGAGCACGAAGCAGTGCCGATATGGTCATTGATGTAGCGGCGGAAGAGGTGGGGAATTGTGCCAATGTAGCAGTGGAAGAGGGACTGTTCCACATATGCTAGGAAATACCTAGACTACACCTCCTCTCACCCACCTTCCTGCAAGAATGCAATCCCCTATTCTGCAAACCGACCCCACAACCATTAAACTGGTTTGGTGTCTTGTTTTAAAAAAGTAAAAGTAAAGTCACCATAGTCTCAGCGGATCACTGGAGTCCTCTCTCATTTACAGAGAGACAATTGCTGATGGGTTTAATCTATGGTCATCACACCTCAAGCTAGGGAGTGATATTGAGAAGATTGGGCCTTCATGGTCACTGTAAAACACCTACGAACATTCCATTGTATTTATGCTGTTAAATAAGTAGCAGTAGTCAGTGTTATCATTGCGGCCAATAGGTTAGATAGAAGGAAACTATTTCTTTCTTCTGTTTGGAGAAACCAGAACAAAGGGGCATAACCTTAAAAGCCCTCAAGAAGCTCTTAAAATAGATAGATGTTGGTTAGTCAAGGATATTGAGGGGTTAGAGAAACAAGACAGGTAAATGGAGTTCAGGTACCGATTACCCACAATCTAACTGAATGCCAAACTGGCTCAAGGGGCCGAATGGCCTACTATGTTTTATTAGTACTGGGCAGTGAGAACATTGATATTAATTGTTCTCCACGGAGATATAACAAGCAAAAATTAAATAAAGAAAACATCATAGTTTGCTGTTTTCTTGTATAAGTTGCTGCGCAGAAGTAAAATTATCTTGCTATTTCTTATTTGGTTTCTACTTTGCTGGTCAGACATGATCTTTATTTTTTGACACAAGGAGTGTCATCACATACTTTGCCCCGAGAGTGTAAGATGAGATGAGCTTCCTGAATAGATCAAATCTTCTCGGGATCAGCATCATTACCTAAATAAGAATAATCTCATGTGGAAGGGAGGAACATCGCAATTACAGGCTAGAAGTTCCTGTGTGTCACATTTCCTAATTATTCCAGGAAAGGAAAGAAAAGAAAAAATAATTGCCAAGTGGCCTGTTTAGCTGAGTACAGGATACTGTTCCAACTAGGTTAAGACACAGCTGAGGTGTACTCAATCTAATTAAACATAGATTAGAATGCATCTTACAATGATGGAGAAGTTTCATGACTGGGGTTTTGTCTTTTTATTAAAATTGTTTTCAACAAATGAATAGATGTACAGAATACAATATTGCAGGTTTGTGTCAGGGCCATTTACATTTCTAGACCAATGCAAACCCGGTCCAAGCAGTTATCGTATTAGAAAAGATAACAAGGGAATGGGAAGCTCAGTGGATTTGTCGGGTTCCTCTTTTAGTGGGATAGATTGTACTGACCCTTTCTCTAGCCACCATTGATT